AAAAAAAAAAGTGTAAACACTACGCGTTAATGCTTCTTCGCAACGGTGAAATTCTACGTATGAAAAGTGGTACGCCAACAGAGTACTTTTTCTATAAGTACTACATAAAAGTCGAAAGCATATAAATCTAGAAAACCCACTTACCCTTTCAACGTTGTAGCAGTTGATATGCGTTAGTTCGGGTAGTTCTTCCATGGCTAATGCCAAGAAGAGAAAGGTGAAGCAAAAATGCTTCCCTAAAATACTTTACTTAAAATAAAAAACCGGATCCGTTAGCGGTAATCAGCGTATGGTAAATTCAAAAAAAGCATAAGCATATAATATGAGTAACAGCAACACTGGTCAATTGCCGAACTAGCAAAACGCGCATATTTTAAAAGAAAAAATTATCAAAAGTAATACAACGAAACCCTATTTCGCGACACAACTGGAATTTAGAATTATACAATTGTGAAATTGACGATAAAAAAGACAAAGCGATCTAGCTGGGAAAAATTTTAAAAAAAATTATAATAGTAGCAAACGCCAACAACATAAGTTATAAAAAACAAAGATAAAGTAAAACAACACAATTTCGCTGAAAGTCAGTACTATTTGAATACTACACTACCAGATAAGTCTTCTACTAAAGCAGTGAATTTCTAAACAATTGCACTTTTGCGATATATGATCGAAATTGGAATAATACAACTCGGGTATTGAGAAAAGCGATTATCTGTACAAAAACTGTCCATCCCGGTATTACCAACACTACTGACCATTGCTGACTCTGCTGGTTGATATCATCAACCAAAAAGATGAACGAATTAGGGGAATATTTTACGGCAATAATGTTCTGATTTCTAAGTAAAAATAGTAATAATAATAAAGGATTTAAATTTACGACTAGTCCAAAACACATTAGTCGTGTAAAATAATGCCGAATTACGAACAAGACGCAAAAACACTGACAGCATAAGAAAACTGCATTACCAGTATGTAGAAAATTAACAACAACAATAATAATGTAATCACAACAATAATAA